AAAATAGACAACAAAAAAATTTAATTATAGCATTTAATTTAGCAATTTAAATAAAAATTATATTGTTTCCATTAATAGCAGTCTTATAAATATTTAAATAATTCTAAAAATATTTTCTGACAGTCAATTAAAAGCAACAAAAGAAAGGAAAATTAAATAGAAATTAGGGGTATAATAAATAAATTAGCAGTAGAAAGGAAATGAAAAAGAAAAATTTAATTAAAAACTCGCTAAAATGGTTGGGGGAGGGAAAGGTTTTTTGCCACGTTTCTCACAATTAAAATGTGTATATTTAATTTAATAATTAAAAAAGAAATTAATTTTAAATTAATTTAAAAGATTAATTAGGGAGACCGAAAATTAAAAATTAAGATTAAAAATAATTATTGGAAGGAATGAATGAGCTTTCACAGGGAAGGAAAATCCCCAGTAAAAAAGAAAAATAAAAAATATAAGTCAAAATTCGGATTTTATGAAATAAAAAAATTACCACCCCCCCCCCTTCTCAAAGGAGCAGAAAAAAAAACAAAAAATTGTCTTTGGAACCAGGTCGTATACTAAGACTGTATCAGGTCAGGTATCTCGGGCACCCCAAAAGTGCAGCTTCTTAATTTTGTTGAATGAGAGACTTATCAACCCAGAGCAGAAAAACGTGCTCTCGGGCCAATTATCTTTCTTCTTTTATTTTGGAAAAATAATTTTCGGTCTTGCTATTTGTTTAAATCACGGGCATCCCCAAGCCTCGATCTTGTATTTAAAAAAAGTTCTCGATCCTAGACATTGCTAAAAATTAATTAGGTATCTATTTTTTAACTTTTCTTAGAATATAATTTTTAAAAAATGTAAAAATAAATTTGAAAAAATAAAATTTAAGTGTGAGAGAATTGGCAAATATTTTGTAAAAATAGAAATGCGCACATTTTATATTTAATCTCCCCCCTTCCCCCTCTCCCTCCCTCCCTCCAACTCCTACCTCCAACTCCTACCTCTCCCCCCTCCCGTATTCTCTCAATATTTTTCACATAATATTATTTGTATTTGCTTTATTGTTTAGCTGCTCAATTAGCCTAGTAAGCGCCAAAGGAAAATAAAAAATTTTTTTTTTCAATTGCCTTATAGGGAGAACAAAACCAATAAAAAAATAATAATTTAATGGGAAATAAATGAGTGGAAGGGGAAATAAAAGAAATAAATTTATTTATAGCTATTAAAAAATTTTTTCTTAATTACTTGGTAATTATATAATTATTTATGTATTTAATGGAAAAATTAGAAAAAATGGAAACAAAATTAATAAATTTTTTTTAATTTTCTATATTTAAAATTAATTATATTTAGAAAGTTTTTAATAAAATATTTAAAAAAAAAGGAAATAAAATATTTTTTAATTGGCTGAGATTTGCGGACAGAGATTTGCGGACAAAACAAACATGTTGTCAGAAGTTTTGGGTTTAGACATAATGATGAGAGCTCTAGTCCATATCTCCGATGTCCTCTCAAAATCAACGGATATCCGATGTCTCTCAAAATCAACCCAAATCCACCATCATCCTCAAGTCCACTGGAATTAAGATGGATATCGAGAATCACTTCTAATTTCACCATATCAGAGGGGCTGAACCAAGGTATAAGAAGAGAGCTTAGACGAAAAATTGACGATCTTTAGTTATGACCAACATAATCTTCGCTGGAAAAACTGTTTTTGTGCCAATGACTGTTGGCAAAAAACCAATGACTGTTGGTACCAACTGACCTTTTTCGAATTTTAAGAGTCGAACTTTTGGTCATGTCGATATTTTGTGACATTTCAGCCGTGTCGAGGTTTTAAGCATTTTAGCTGAATAGAGATTTTAAGGTTCGGTGTTTTGAGAAATACAAATTTCTATGCAGCATATATGCTATATTTTTAAATTCACTTTCGCCGAGCGTCGTGGCGGGCGCTTGTAGTCCAGTTTCTAGGAGGCAAAAGCACCAAATTGACGGGTGTGCGCTGAGCGAGTGTCTAGAGCAAGGGCCAAGTCAACAAGGGGCGCTAACGGGAACGTTTGTGCTCCTGGTTGTTTAAAGAGCGGGGCAACGGTTCAGGCCCGAAAGGGAGCAGACAAAACCCGCCGCTTGGTCACAGTGTTCAGTCAGCACTTGCGAGCATGCCATTCCAAACGTTGATTGGATTTAGCTTTTTGGAATTTTTTTCAACAATTGTACTTGACTAATTTTAGGGAAATCAATAATTGTAAAATTTTTTAATTTTTCTTCAAAATCCTCCCCATTTAAATGTGAGAAACAAAAACTCAAGTTTTAGAAATTTCCTGTGAAAATTTTCCCTAAAAATCCACCTAAAAATAATTTTATTAAAACACATGCACTGAAAAAAATTGACTATTAATCGTCCTTCTAATTGTTAGGAATAACACACATTGTTTGTCAAAATCAAAGTATTTAATTAAAAAATCAAAAAAAGAAAAAAAATATTTTTATTTAAACATTCAACAGAAAATATAGGTATAATTTCGGAATACTAAACAGACTCCGATTGGGACAAATTATATGTCATTCGACTCAGCTCGGCGAGCTGAGTCGAATGACATCAAAAAATCGATTGGGACGTAACTATGGGCCGAGATACAGGGCTCGAAATGGTCAAAAACCATAGGGTGGACCAAGCACTTTTTTGGGGTGAAAAATTCGAAAATGCAAATAATAGCTCATTCGAAAGAGCTCCTCGAGCTGAGTCGAATGAGACCAAAATCAGCGAAATCCGATTTGATTTGACAAAGTTATGATCGTTTGTTTTAGCTCCTTACCTTTGTTATACGTGGATGTTCTTGCTGTTGCGGAGGAAGCCGGGCATGACCATCACAGCGATAATTGGAATAGGATTAAGTTACGAGCCCAGACCCAGCGCCCGTAGACTCCCCGCGAGGCGCGTGCCGCAAAACTCCGCGCGAAGCGCGGAGTTTTGCACAAGCGCCTCGCCGACGCCCCATAGGTTTACGTTGTATGTTTTTTCTGTCATAACTTCGAACAAACTTGACCAATCACGGCGATTTTGGTGTCATTCGACTCAGCTCTAGGAGCTCTTTGGAATGAGCTATTATTTGCATTTTCGAATTTTTCACCCCAAAAAAGTGCTTGGTCTCCCCTATGGTTTTTGACCATTTCGAGCCCTGTATCTCGGCCCATAGTTGCGATCCAATCGATTTTTTGATGTCATTCGACTCAGCTCGCCGAGCTGATTCGAATGACATATAATATGTCCCAGTCGGAGTCTGTTTAGTATTCCGAAATTATTCCGAAAATATAATATCCATTTTTTGGTGAAGAGTAAATTTTAAATAGTAAAGGAGAGAAAAACATAATTTATAATATTATATTGTAGTCAAAGCTCTTTATAAAATAACCCCAATCATGGCCCAGAAAAAATTTGGAGGGAGGGGCAGAGGAATCAAAATTTTGATTTTCAGCTCCTTTTTTTTAAAATTGTGGCCTCAGTTTTTTCTTTTCCCCATTTCGAGAGAGGGGGGGGGGGGTATTTTAATCAAGATAATCCTCATTATAAATAGGGTTGTCGTTGCCAGCTCGCTCGAACCGAAACTCGAAAGATCGAGCGATCCGAGGCTTTTCAGCTCGAAAACGAACTGAAAAAACCAAGCTCTGCAACGAACGTCGGCTCGAACCGTAAACGGGAACCTTAATTATAGTCCACAAATTTTAGCCCATAGGGTTATCTTTCTGAGGTTCGACTACACATTTTCTAAGCAAGTTTATTTACCCTTTATATAATATACCCTTTTTAATTAACTAAAATATAGTATTTTCTTTCTTGTGTTGAAGGTCATTCACTTCCAAATTAAGCTCCAGCCTTATGCGCATTGATAACAACCTTTGAAAAATTTTTTTTTAAATTTTCTAAAAAAATTTTTTTCCAAAAATTAAAACCTGTGCTCCAATTATCAGAATTTGCTCCTTCGAATAAAGCCCATCAGATGGCAACGGAACAGGCATAGTCAACTCTCTATAGCTAAACTCTTTTTCATAGCTAGGCGGTACTCCCTACGGAAATAAAAAGAAATTGGTAATTTTTAATTTGTAAGAAGGCTAAGAACTTTGGGACCTCTTTCCCTTAGCTACTAAATTGAGATTTTTGAAAAGTTTCTGGGTCTGTTCCCGGGTTTGATTTATTGACCTGGGCCTGATCCTGGGAAACCAGGAAAGATTAAAAAATGCCTAGGTTTGGACTCTGGGTACAGGAAAAACCCAGACCTTTGGTCACGACCCAGCTTGATCTCTATTAGCTATACGTGCTTGGTTACGGATATAACCTTCATATTTATAGTCGCCCAGATATCCGGTATGAGGATATCATTTGTACCCGTGAGCACACCCAGTTTTGTATATTCAAAGACCCAAAAATTGCTAATGCTTTCTTATTGTTAGGAAACAACATTTCAGAATTATTTTAAAAGGGAAATCCAAAAATTAAAAGAAAACAAACCGGCACAAAATCAGCAAGTTTCAACATCGAATTATCATTTAATGAGCCAAAATCTGGTGGAGTAATAGCCCTACGCACCATCAATTTTTCCGATTCAACAGCTTTCCTCGCCTCAATTTTGGCAGCAGTTACCGCACGCTTTCGAGCCAATTTTGATTCTGTAACCGCTTGAATTAAAATCTCAGGACGCATACGAACACTTCTAAAAAATAAATTTTAAATTAAAAAGGATCCCCGAGGTTTTGAAAGATCACGCTCACATAAACAGTAAACCCAGACGGCTTTTTAATTTCAAATTGTAGCTAGATTAAATATGGAGGAGTCAGTAAGTTCATTCAGTCGGTGTGAATAACTGAATAGGAGGAATCAAGGAGATGACGGGTTGGAAAATGTCATGTTGGGGTCTCAGCTCTAAAAAAGTCCGGGCACACCCGTCACATCAATGTCCGCATGTTGAATCCAGAAGACGATTATGCTGGTAATAAGGATGTATATCGGGACCAGGGATGTATATCGGGTTACCCGAGACCTGGACTTTTTCCGACCCGAAACCAGATCAGAAGAAAAATTTGAAGACCCACCGATCGAAACCGACCCGACTTTTTTCTCAACCAGCCCCATCGATGATTAACTCTAAACCCCATAAAATCCATTGTCATGAAGGAAAAGTGTAGAAAAATCAAAAAAAAATTAAAAAAAAACCCGTAAGGAGGCATTGCTGCTTTCGCCTTTTCCTCAGCCGCTCGTTGTTCTTGCAAAATTTTTGATGTCGTAACAGTTCGAATAAGATGATCAGGCTGCATTCGGAAGCTTTGTTGTTTGTAGAGAGGTTGCGGAGATTGTTGAAAGTTATTGTAAAATTGATATCTATGTGCCATTTTGTGCACTATTTAAATTAAAAATTGAAAAAAAAAATTTTTGGAATCGGTAAAAGTAAAATAAAGTAAAAGAAGCTAAATCTTTAGACTCTAAATCCATACAAATTCAAAATAAAAAATAGCGCCCAAACAATCCTTGTTGACGAAATGCAATAATTTTCTCAATGTGACCAAATAATTTTAGATGTTTTGAAAACTTTTCTCGCCCATTAAATCATTTGATCTAAAATTTTTTTGTAACATTTTTGTTTTTTATTAATGGAGTTTTCCGATTCACTTGTGCATTTTAGATTTATTTTGTTTCTAGTTTATTTTCTTTGAGTCAATCACCCCAATACAAAATTATGCGTAAACTGGTCAAGAGCCTTTACTTTTTTTCTCTTTATTTTTTTCAGTATTTTCATAAAACTTTATTGACGTTAAAAACAATGACTGTTGAAACTGATCTGGCTAAGCGAGTTGGCGAACTTAATTTGGAAAAACGAGTGGATGAGGTAACGGAGAAAATGGACAAGAAACTTTCCTCTGACTCGATGAATGGCGAAAGTTTTGATAAGCGTGTTCGTCAATTGCGTGGTCCGATTGTTATTGGGCGTGCTCAACACGGAATTGTTAAATGGTTCAGTGTGGCCAAAGGTTTGTTTGTTTTAGGTTTGTTTGGGCTGGATTCCGTTGCTCAGGGTCCTAGTTTTACTTGCTTATTTTTCTGGACTTCCGTTCTAAGAGCACGGCCAAGGTCAGCGGTCTGGGGAATTAGGTCAACTTTGGACTTAATTGCTCTTAATCTCCAATCTATTTTCTGAGCTCTAGTTGGAATCTTTTCGTATTTGTTTCTGAGCTTGTATTCGCCTACTTAGGAGTCTGAGTTTCGTGCTTAAAAATGATTTTTGGACACAACGAATTCTCATGTTTTAAAATTTCTTAACTCCTTTTATCGAGAACGGAACCTGGGATCAAACAAATCCACAAACTCCGTTCTATTTCGGATTAACCAAATCTCCCCAAAGGTCCTCGTTTACCTTCTCAATCTAGTTTATGTTTCTCAATTCTCACAATTTAAGGGTATGGGTTTATTCGTGTTGATGGTTCGGAAAAGGACTGCTTTGTTCACGCCTCCGCCATTCTTCGTACAGTTAATGTGCCTCTTGCTTTGATTGAGAATCAACAGGTTTACTTTAACAACAACAGAAATATTATTATTTCTTTCCAAGTTCAGGTGGAATTTGATATAATTGAGGGGCTGAAAGGTCCTGAAGCTGTTTGCGTTTCTGGCCCTGGTGGTGTTCGTGTTGGCAAGACTATTGGTTATATGTATAAAGGTACTTTTTACCATACATATCCGCGTTTCCGCCAACCACCAATGTTGCCTGTTCGTTATCCTGCTGGACAACGTCACAACAACACTGTAGAGCACAAACAAAATAGCAATATGGGGAAGAAGGTGGATGCTGGCGGGGAGAAGAATGGGAACCGTCAAAAGGCTATTGAAGGTGAAGGAAAGGCGGTCGTTCATGATGAAAAGACTACTGAAGGAAAAACGGTTTAATTTTTTTATAATTTTTATTTTGTGAAGTTCATCAGGGTTTTTGGGACTGTTTGGTAGTTTTAAGTAGGGTTGTTGGCGACCGGTTATTAACCGGTACCCCCGGTTTTCGGTTAATCTAAAGTTTAGAAACCCGGTTTTCGGTTTTGAGTTTTAGGCAAATACCGGTTTATTTTTGGGGGAATTTTAAATAAAATCACTCATTTTCACAAAATTCCGGTTTTCGGTTTTTAAAATTTTCTAAAAACGGTTAATTTTTCGCAAAAAATTTCAAAAATTCCGGTTTTAAAACCGGTCGCCAACAACCCTAGTTTTAAGCTTTAAGGGGTTTAATTTTCATGTCTTCCCTATTTTCCCTTGTTTTATCTGTGAAAATTTTCTAAATTAATCAAAGGGGATTAATTTTGTGTAATTATTCCAACATGATTAAGTTCATCTTCCGAATTTAACATTTTCTTTTCCGTAAATTTTAGCCATTATCTTGAGCCTAATTTTCACGAAAAGATTAGGAATTGCTCATCTATTCTATAATTACGATAGAATGAAAATGTTGGTACTCGGTCCATAATGTTCAGAATGGATCCTTTAATTGATTTAGTTGTCACAATTAAGCAAGGGAAAATAATAAAATGAAAATGGCGCTCTAAAGTTCGAACTTTTTCCTTTTCATAAAAATAGGTTCGGGGGCTTTAAGAGGGAGGGGGTTTCTTTTCAGCCTGTAGCCATGGTTTTTTCAGAGGGGGGGGGAGTCCATAAATTTTTTGCTTTTTCCCATTTCGGAGGCACGCATTCCTTACTTGCCGTAACTTGCCATTTTCTTAAAGATTTTTGGAAAAATCCTCTAAATGCTGCAAAGTTTCCCCTTCTTTTACCACTTGTTCGAAAATACCATTCAGCACCAATGTCTTCTTCAGAGTGCGAACGTGTGTTTTCAGTTGCAAAATATATTTTGGATGATCGAAGAAAGAGTATTACAATGGAAAATCTCGAAAAACAGTTATTTTTACATGAGAATTTGCTCATTTACGGGTTTAAAATTGAATAAATGGCAAAATAAACCAGTTTTTTTTGAAAATTTTTTAAACTTAAAATGTTTCGTTTTGTTTCGTTTCGTTTCGTTAAATTTTGACTGTTTCGTTTCGTTTCGTTTACGAAACGATTTTTAAAAAATTTTGTTTCGTTTCGTTTCGTCCGAAAAAAATTTGGAGTTTCGCCCAGGTCTGGAGAGGAGTATACTCGTGTCTTTTTTTAGGCAAAATTTGTATTCATCTGAGTTTCCCTTTCCCACTTTTCCTTTATAAAAAATTTAATTTTAGCGTCCCAACAAGAAGCGTTTCCATCGTCGTTACTATCGTCATCCAGTTGCAGACAAATCCAAGAGCGCCACTAATACCACCACCAAGGGAGAGGATGAGAAGAAGGAGGTTGTTGATGAGGTAAAGAAAGATGAAGGGGGGCAAGGAACGAAGGAGGAGCCATCAACTGTTAATACGACGTCCACTGCTACTTCTCCTCAGAAATGAAATTCTTTTTTGAGGGAAAATTAAATTCTGATAAATTTGTTAAGATTTGATAGAGTTTTTCAATGTGACACTTTACACGTAAATATATAAATTTAAATAAAAAATAAAGAAAAAAATTGGATTGATTTTTGATTTTATTTGTTGTTGAATTTTCAATTCATTTCTTTTTTTTTCTTGAATGAATATGATTTTTACTTTTAAATTAGCTTTTTGAAAGTTTTTTTGTTTGATTGGCTTTAGTTAGACCCCTTCATCAAGAACGACCGCAAGAACGCAAATAATTTGTGAAATAGTCTTTAAATCAGAAATGTTTTGACGGCTGAAAGATAAATATTCTTAAGGAATTCATTGGAAATATGGCATTGAAGCTGATAAAACTTCAATTTTTCATAGCCTCAGAAAAAAATTTTTTTTTTGCTTTTCTAGGCTCAGACTTTCACAAGAGATATTTAAAAACTTCTAGCATTGTTGAAATGTTTTTTTGCGTTAGTCAAGAAAATAATTTAAATACACAGCGCTCGCCCTGCTCTTACTCTCTTTTGAAATCGTCTGATTGTGGCAAAAAAATTGTTTTGAATCCTGTGATAAAGTACAGCATTGAGCACTTTATCGTGTTTAGTGAACACAAAACATGTTTTGTGAATTTAATTTTTGTGCACGACGATTTTCTATGCTACGTCGACTTAAAAATCGCTCGCTTTTGCGACAGAAAATATAATAGGAAAGAGGAGAGATTTTGTCTATCAATTTTTTTCAATGTTATTTACTGTCGCGGACGCAAATCGACTATGTACGTGTAACTATAATGTAAATCCCCCCTCTCTTTCCTATTTTCTATGTAATTTTATGTCCACATATGCACATACATTTATTCAAAATTAAAAAAAAATTTTTTTTATTAAAAATTAAACATTTAAAATATAAAAAAATTTAAAAATTTTCTAATGTTAAAAACGTCGTTTTTAACATTGGAGTTAATTCTGTTGATTTGTGTTAATCTGATTTGGAGTGGCCACGTTTTGGACAAAATTGATAAATTAACAGAGGAGGAGGTTAAAAAATTGTTAAATATAGCTAAAAAGTATGATCCCGATTTCAATTTAAAATTTGAACAACTTGATTTCCAAACTACTCCAATTTACGAAGGAAATAATTCCGTGCAAATTAACCAAGAAGAGTTGGGCTTTTTTAAAAGTTTAATGAATTCAATTGAAAAGAAGGCTAATAAAAGTAAAAATAAAAAAATTAAAAAAATTTGGGAATTATTTAACCCTAAATTTAATGAAATTATTAATTTAATGTTTGAAATAACGAAAGTTACAAATGAAAATAATGAAGGAGAAAAAGGAAAAATATTTATTCCAATTTATTATTATGGAGGGAAACATGCTAAAGAATTTTTGATTAAATTAACAGGAATTTTAAAAAATTGGAATAATCGAAAATTAGATTCAGAAAACATCAAAGATGAGTTTGAAGAATTATTTAATTCAATAAATTATTTTATTGAGATAATTCATTGGGGCAAAGATGACAATAATAGGGGAGAAATGTTGGAAGAAATCATTAATCAAAATATTGAAGGAAATATAAACAATTCTAATGAAATTTTAGAATTGATAAATGAAAATATTAAAGAAGCAAAGAAAGTCATGTTCTCGAATAAATTAAAAAATAAAATATCAAAGTTTAACACCAAATTAAACATTGTGGGCTGGACAGATTTTGATAAAGTAAACTTTTAGGTTCTACTTGACTTTATGAGTGCAATCAAAAAATAATTGAATTTTTCTTGGTGTTGCAAAGTTGGATTATGGTTCCAAAACATTTCTTCATGTTCGTTACCTACGCCCACTGGGACTTGGGACCATTCCTTGCCCTATCCCTCGAAATTTCTGAAAGTTAAAATCGTTCTCTGAAATTTTTAAGAATTGGCTATAACTTTCAGAAATTTCTAGGAATATGGTAAGGAATGGTCTCAAACCCAGTGGGCGTAAGCCTAAACATGAAGAAATGTTTTGGGACAACTAGAACCAACTTTGCAACACTAAGAAAAATCCAATTATTTTTCGATTGGACTCGTAAAGTCAAGTAAAACAAACTTTAAAATTAATTTTAATATATTAAATTTAATCAAATTTTGTAGAATGCAAATCCAAATTCGAATATGTTTCAGTATAACACGGAAGATAATCTACGTAAAAAGCGAGCAACTTATCTCGACATAATTATTAGACTATTTATTAGACAATTAGCAAGAGGGATAGTTAGAGCTATATTTTCCAATGAGACAAGAGAAAAATTAAATATAATAATTTTTTATTTAGCTGTTGGATTAAACTATCTTTTCTTTATTGCTTGGCCTATTGCTGATCGCATGTCTACGATTACCTGCGATTTTCCTGAGTTCGACTGGTTAAGAAACCATTGGCCATTTGGAGGAGGACACGGACAGAATAATGGAGGTGGAAACAATGAACAAATTAATCAGTTTAATCAACACATACACCATCCAGTACATCCACAAGAACATCCACATGAACATCCTCCAGTATACCAACAACCACAGCAAATACCTTGGCTTCAACCATACCACCACCAACAACAACAGCACCCACAACCAATACATCCTCATATGCCAATACAGCCACAAATACCATGGTTTCAGCAACAACAGCAACACCACCAACAACATCATCCACACCAACAACCACAACAGGCTATTTCATATTCCGATAATAATTATACTAATAGTCAATCTTCTTCAAGCAATCCACAACAATTTCCTTCATTTAACCGTTGGGATTCAGTTAACTCTCGTCCTTATCCACAACAAGATTCTGACGATGAAGGTAGTGATAATGGTGGAGAACCTTCACAAGTGACAGATTATTCTGACCTAGACCGTAAACGACGTTCTGCTTCTTTAATGGGCCAGAATGATAAGGAACAAAAGAAGAATGGAAAAATTCAAGGAAATAATTTGGATAAAAATCAAATTATTAATTCTGATTCAAAGAATCAATTGAGTAAGAAATGTTTAAAAAATTAATTTTATATCACAAATTTTTTTGGAATAAAAAAATATTTTTTAGAAGGAAAAGGATCACGTTCATCGACTTTGGATGGAAATCAAAGTTTTGCTGATGCTACTAAAACAAAAAATCCTTACTTTCCTACAAGTTCAACAAAAAATCTTGACAAGAAAAATCGCAAGAAACGAGACATTTTTGAAACACTTCGTGAAGCATGGGAAAATTGTGGGGAATGGTTGGCAATAATTTTTGTATTAATCAACCTTATAGCCTATTTTGGTATTTTTGTTTATCTTTGTTATGTTCTTTGAAATACTCTTTTCTATCTTTTTTTCTTCTTTAATTTTATTTATTTTTATCAAAATAGAATTTAGTAAAAGTTAAGCAAAATTACAAGTTCTTGAGAGTTATACAGTATCGGGATCAGGGCTGCACGCAATTAAGGATTGCGTTTGCGGATTTTAAAAAAAATTGCGAGTTGCGAAATTTTTTTAATTGCGTGCTGCCCTGATCGGGATCTTGATCGGATACGTTTTTTTATCTTTTATTTCTTTTAATTTTTTTTATCTAAAATGGACTTCAAAATTTTGTTTTAACGTATTTTCTTGATTAATTATCCACCCTGAATTAATTTCCCTCGTTCGAAAGAGTTCACTGCTTTGATTAATTCTCTTTTAAGTCTGACGGTCGAAAGAATATTACATGAGATAATTATTCAAGAAAATACGGTATCTTTCATAGACTTGATCATCTATATCTGTCTTTAAGTAGAATCTGCCTGTACGTAGATTATATCCTCTGTCTTATATAAATTATATAATCCTCTGTCTTTACCTAGAAAGCGACTTTACTAAATTATAAATGACAATTAAAATGATTTAATAGAATGAGAACCAACAAAAGAATTCGATTCTGAAAATAGGCTGAAGGAAATTTGAATGCCTTTTACAGTGATTTTTAAAGGGGAAACCTGTTCTACCGCAATTTATTTATCAAAATTTATACTTTTTCGATAGGGGCGAAATCTAATTTATTATCTAACGAAATCTAATGTACTATCACTTTACTCAATTTGGTCAAAGAAAATTTGATAAATTTCCCCTCTAATTCAATCCTTTCCTTTTCCTCCATAAAATCTGTTAATTGTTCCTCTCAACTCTATATGAAAGTATTATTGTTTTGATTAAATTAATTATATCCCGATTATCTAAAAAACATTTTAACTTGTAAATAGCAAAATCACATATTTTCTCTTTATTTTTAATAACTTCAATGTAGTCATTTTTATTCTCCAAAGTGTTGAAATTTTTTGAAATTAAAAATTTTAATCTTTTAAAAATGAATGTCTTTGTCACCCAGTGATGGGAAAGTTCCAAAATTTCTATGTCCAAATTTCTATGTTCCAGAACTAGGTCTTTAATTTTACTAGTTCCGTAGTTCCAGTTCCAAGCTAGTTCCAGACATTTACTAGTTCCGTAGTTCTAGTTCTGGAACTAGAACTAATTAGTTCCGGAACTGGAACTTTGCCCATCACTGTTTCAACTTGTGTTATTTATAATTATTTAAAAAGCATTTGAACATCTAAACTTTTAAAGTTTATCAAAGATATTCTTTTTCGGAAATCGGATGGAATCAACGTCGAAAATCGTAATTCCGACGACCTCTTCTTCTAGTACTGGATGTAACTTATATAGTAAGGTCTAGAGTTGGCGGATCCGAATATTGTGATCCGAAAAGCCCGGTTATCCGGAACTTTCGGATCCTGCCAACCATAGTAAGGCCCGACTTTAAATTAGTTTTTACAATGACTACCGTAAAACTTCTAATATCGCTCGAGATTTCTCCCAATCCACGCTAATCTATAATTCGATTGATCCATTGAAGCGATAATTCGATTGAAATTTATTTTTGTTTTGTATGTGAGCGTATAAAATTTTCTTTAGAAATTGAAAAATAGATCGAAAA